TTGCGCTTTGAAAGTATGCGATTTTAGTAACCACCAGTGAAAGTAAAGGAAATCGAAGATCTTAACTCCCTTTGGAAGAATTGGATAAAAAAAAACGTTCTTGCTTTACTTGGCATTTCTAATTTTCATTCGGCTATATGCGCATGAGCGGTGATTGCGTCAATGAAGAATAAGAGAATCTTTACTTCTTATGTAAAACTAAATATTACTTTCAAATGACTCACAATATATATTAAATTTTAAGTAATGATTTACCATTTTTAACAATTAATTCCATCTCCTTAAAACAATTAAAATTCATAGCACGATTTGCCATATATTCACTTTCAGTTTCAATTTTCTTCGTATTTAAAGTTAGATTTTATTTTATTTCTTAAAAACTAATTTTTGCATTTGTTTTTTTTTTTTTGTTTTTCTTCGCCAAGCCACTTATTTGTTAATGTCGTAATTTCAGTTGTCAAATTATTATTTATTAACTTGAAAGTAGGTGAAATTATTCGTACTTGTTCATGTACTTGAAACTCGCTGAAACGAGTTAAAAGTGGTACACATTTTTTATTTGGTGGAAAGCCTTAAATTAATGTTCGAACAAGTTTTTACTGAAATTGGCAATGAATTGGACAAAGTCAATGGTGTTGGTAAACGAATGAAAAATTGTTATAATTTTATAATTTCAGTAAATTGGTTGGGTACGAATATGTAGATAAGTAGCCGACCATTTTGCGTAAGGTCTCAAGAGTAATTTGCCTTACAGAGCTGAATGCTTTGAGCAACATACCCGGGTCTTCAGTGGACATTACTGAGCTCTCCACCAGCGGCATGAGTTTAGCGATAATTTCAACGGTACAGAAGAGAAATGTCATCTAAGTCAATTATTCTTATGTGACCAATTTGAAAATTAATGCCGGTAGCTTATAAAAGCACAGGAACAACATACACACATACCTATAAAAATATGCCAATCAACGGCGTTCAGCAAGCCTACACAGCAGCCCACATGACAAGACAGATTTCTGGATGCTTCGAGTAACCAGCACAATGCGAACACCTTAGAAGATTAAGAGGAAAAGATTGCTACATATGTTTGTATATAAGTGCATATGTCCGTAAATACATATGTACACCCATGGCAAGAAGAAGAACATGGAAATCATGTTTGCAACATCATAGTACGTACCATACTAGACACCATCACATTATCAACATATGCTAGTGGGCAGCAGCCAAATAAACAAAGACATGTAGCCAAAGTTGGTTGCAGACAGAATACGCGCACGTATTGCGCTGTAAGTTGAAGTAGTCAAAAATATGCGATGACTTTTTTCACTTTCATCTGCCATTCGGCGGTTGATAGACACGTTCACTATCCGTTTGTGAGCCTCAAGCGATATGTGCGAAATGGAAACCGTTTGTGGCTGAGACGAAGTGGAAAAACTCAAGATCGGTGTCAATGGCGGCGGCATCGTACTTTAAAAATATTTATTATTTTTAATTTATTTTCTTCCGTTTTTTTTTTTTTTTTTTGTTTTTGTGCGCTAACTTTCGTTTGTACCGTGTGCTGTCGCTGAGAGTGAGTGTGTGCAACAATAGTCGAACGGCCAGGAAAACATGCCACATTCCACAGCTCGCGAACGCGGAGGACGACTCCCCGTGAGGAAATGTTGTTGTTGCTGCTGTGATTTGCAAGAGTGTTTGCCTACGAGGCAATCAACGATATGGAAATTTTTCCTCCTTTTACTCACTGCCTTTTTTATTTATTTATTTTTTTTTTTTACTTTTTGCTTTACTCTGTATTTTTTTTTTTTGTAGAAAAATGCGGAAAAATTTAGAAAGTGAACACAAATAAATTCGACAGAAAGTGAAGACTATTTTTGCTATGGAGTTCAAGAGGAGTGAGCTGATAGTGAATTTCGAAGCGAGGGTGATGCAGCTCTCAAGGAAATGAAAAAAGCACAAGAAGTGTTTAATTCTGCCTTCACGAAAACGAAAAGAAAAAAATAGTTTGAAGAGATTGTACTCAAGTTTTGCAAGTTAAAAGGCAAATTTTGAATAAAATATTAATGAAATATTAAAAAATTAACGCAAATGTAATTTGATGGCAAACATTAAATTAAATAAATTTTAGTTTTTCACATTATTTAAAATAAGTCAATGTTCGCCTACTTTCTGAGACCTACTTTAACTTGGAGGCGAAATACGAAGGATGGTGGGTATTTATAATTGGTTCAATCAACCTTATCTATGCACATACATACAGTAGGAAGCAGAAGTGATTCCATGATCAACGTTAAAGAAATAACGTATTTGAAGAAGCTTTAGAATAATAATGATTCAAGAACAAAAACAAGTGGCATGTATTCAGTTTTGCATCATTTAAGATAAAATACAAAATAAATTCATTATTAATATTTGGTTCAGAGACCCTTATTTTCTATGACATTTTTCGTACGTTTTGGCACGCTTTCAACTAATTTTTGAATATTCCTTTCGGATATTCCTTTCGGAATATTACTCCACTCTTGTTCAACACGCGGATTTTGAGCATAGGATTTCAATCGGATTGAGGTCGGGATTGTGCGCTGGCCACTCCATCATCTTAAAATTTTGATTTCCGAGTCATTCTTTAACAATTTTCGTAGTGTGCTTGGGATCCCCATCTTGCTGAAAAGTGATTTCCTGCTCTGGGTACGCACACTGGTCAAGAAAATTGGGAAGATGGGTTTGCAATATGGTCAAAGTGTCCTTCCTTTCGCATAATCCCGTCAATTTTATGCAACGGTCTATCGTGCGATTACGTGAAACAACCCAATGCCATTATTTTTCCTCTTCCATGTTTCGCGGTTTGCTTCACATGATATTACAATATTTTTCATCCAATTGACCAGATAACATGCTTCCAGTCATCTCTTGTCCAGTTCTTCTGTTCTTTGGCGAATTTAAGCCGAACCTTAACATTTTTCTCGCTTAAAGCTGTTTTTTTTCAATGCTGCGACGTACCCAATCCTACCAAGCGCTCTTCTTGCTGTCCATCGGCTCACGCCTTTAATTATTTCTGTAGAAGCTTCTTTTGGCATTAAAAGTCTATTTTTTCTCATTTTAGACATCATAAGTCGAGCGTCAGAGTCTGTTAGAAAGCAACGGCGGACCTTTCAACTTCTTTTCAGCACAAACATTTTGTCCTTTCTTAGCAATAGTGCGTGTCGAACACCCACTTTTAATCAGAGAGATACTATTATTTTCTTTATTTTCTTCATTTTTCAGTGAATAGTTAAATACTAAGTTCCAAATTCAACAGATAGTGATTTTCTGAATTCTTACAATGAATAATACAAATAATACGGAAAATCTGCAGGTCTATTGCTGATAAAAAAGTAAGAAGAGCAAAAATGTGAGCATGGATGGTGTAAAACTGAGTACAATCCACTTGGTTTGTTTTTTAAATCATAACTATTCCATTTCTTCTTTCTCTGTTTTGCTATATACTCCTAATTGTAAGAAATAAAAAAGTTTTTGTCATTTACTTTATTCGTTTAACATTTATGTGAGCTCAAACATGAAAACGTTGATCGTGGAATCACTTTTTAAATTTCATTATTCTTCATTGATAAGGAAAAGTATGATGGGGTATTCTGGGCTGTTCAGATAGGGTGGGCATCATTTGTGACTTTAATTCTAACACATTTGTTTTCTGTTCAATTCAGCAATTAATGTAAATATTTCTGAAAATGAAGACAATTTTTTTTCAGATTTGTGGTTATTTGTATAAAGAGAAAATTTAGATAGTGACATAAATCTAATTTTATATAATACGAAACTTCTAAAAATTGTGATTTGGTACTCTAACACAGTGATCCACTTTAACCGAATACTATGACCCACATAACCCATTAGTTTGTTATGAGAGCAACTTTTGAAAACACCTCACTCTTTATGTTCTGTCGGAGGAAAACGTTAAACACAAAGTGACATTTGGGACAAATTGATAAGATAATTAAATATGTTTTATGAAAAAAATTATATTTAATTTTTACTACTATCTATTGACTTATATACCAGAATTTACGGTGGTTATTTTACCAATCACGACTAGAATAATAATTTATATTTATATTGAGCACATATTCAAATGTCCGATGTTTATAATATTGTTACGATTTTACTAAATCACCCTCGATTATTTTCTAGATCCTTCGGGTACGATCTCTGGATTGTTAAATAAAAACTCGCCAACTTAATTTGCAGTTTCTTTCGTTATAAAGATTCTATCTAATGTCCTTTATTTTCTCAGTAATTCACAATTCAATTATACTGCACTTTACTATTTATAATCACTAACATCAACTTTCACAATTTCCTCTACTTAAATGTAATTCCCAACGCGTTCACTTTACGTC